TCTCCCTCGCTCTCTGCCCCTCCCCGACTCACACTCTGTCTCTCAAACATAAATGAATGTTAAAAAAATAAAAATAAAAAGGCTATAACCGAAGTATATTCCCATAGTCTATGAGGATTCTCATTCTCCTGCGTGCTAATATTGAACATTGCCAGTGATCTTTATTTTTGCCAATTTAGTGGATTAAAGACATGTTATTCCATTTTGATATCAATTTCCTTCTTTACTGTTGAGATTAAACATCTTTTCCTACGGTTGACCATTTTAATCTCCTCTGTGAACTGTCAGTTCTTTTTTTTTAAATTTTTTTTTTTTTCAACGTTTATTTATTTTTGAGACAGAGAGAGACAGAGCACGAACGGGGGAGGGGCAGAGAGAGAGGGAGACACAGAATCGGAAGCAGGCTCCAGGCTCTGGGCCATCATCAGCCCAGAGCCCGACGCGGGGCTGGAACTCACGGACCGCGAGATCGTGACCTGGCTGAAGTCGGACGCTTAACCGACTGCGCCACCCAGGCGCCCCGAACTGTCAGTTCTTAATCTTTGTTCATTTCGCCGTTGGCCTGTGTGTCTTTTTCTTACTGATCCGCTGGAACTCTTTATGTATGATGCGTTAACGTTCCCCACCTTTAGTCATCTTCTTTAGCTTTTTGTGCCCTCTGTAATTTTTAATTTTACTTAGCTTAAACTGGCAAATTTGTCCCCCTTTCATACGTCTGACACCGTCTGATTTCTCTGATCACTCCTGATCTTTGACCCTGCCGTCACCTCTGATCCATGACTGTCCTCGGGTCTTCACTCTCCAGAGCTTTCTGGCTTCTGATTCTGACCTCCTTGGCTTGACCTTCCCCTCCCTCCAGGTTTGTGAACGGGGCGGGTTACTTTGCCGCTGTGGCAGACGCCATCGGAGGAGCTCAAGAGGAGATTTTCATCACAGACTGGTGGTGAGTAGGGGAAAAGCTCAGGCAGGAAGGGGCAGGATAGGGCCTGCCCCGGATCAGCTTACAGGCCAGAGGAGGGAGGGGCAGGGAAGAAGGGGCTGGCTGCTCGCCCTTCACCCCCTGCCCTGAATCCCAGGTTGAGTCCTGAGATTTACCTGAAGCGTCCGGCCCATTCAGATGACTGGAGACTGGACATTATGCTCAAGAAGAAGGCGGTGAGGAGAGTGGCAGGCGGGAGGGGAGGTGCGTGCAGGTGGGTCAGAAGGGAGAAGGAAAGGAAGCTGAAGCTTCAGGGGAGGAAACACGTCTATCCTGGGCTGCTGTCTGGCAAGCATCACCTCCTTTTCTTCCTTAAGAGGAACTTACACCTCCCCCTTCATGCTCCTCCTCTACCTGGTGCAGACTTCTCTCCAAGTACCCATTACGCCTTGTGGCGTTACCTGGGGGTGTACGTGTCTGCCTTTCCCACGGGAATGACATCGCTAGCCTCAGTATAAGGCCCGGTGTCCGCCATGTTGGGGACGTCCATAGACATTAATGGATAGACAGATGATCGAGAGGAGGGGCCAGTGGGTGGATGGATGATGGAAAGGGGGGATAGATGGAAGGATAGGAGGGTGGAAAGGTGGATCAGTAGCAGGGGGGAGGGGGGAAGGGATAGATGGATGACAGGTGGCACATATGGGGGTGAGTAAATGGCTGGGAAGATGGATGGATGGATGGATGGATGGATGGATGGATGGATGGGCAGGTGAACAGTGTGCTCACCCACTGCTAAGTTTGCTGAGAGCATCAGAGCAGGGTGTGAGCACTGAGGATCCCCAGGCTGAGTGCACGGACGTACAGAACCCCAAGAATGGGGAAGGAATCGGGAGGTTGGAGGGGGGGCCGTTCTGACCCCCCCTCCCCCGCTCACCACCAGGAAGAGGGTGTCCGTGTGTCCGTACTGCTGTTTAAGGAGGTGGAGCTGGCCTTGGGCATTAACAGCGGCTACAGCAAGAGGGCTCTGATGCTGCTGCACCCCAACATAAAGGTGACTGTCAGGCGTCAGAGACGCCCCCAAAAACC